TTTTATTCTAACTTGGGAAGAAAACAAACCCAACAGGCTCGGAGCAGTGAGCAGCTCGCCTCAGAGGAGGGATTAGCCCTGCAGAAGCAGACCAGGTACCTGAGTTTCTCCCTCTGCACCCCAACTCTATACTTACTGTACCAGCTGCTCCGTGGATGGTCCCTATCCACTTGAAAAGGTTGTCTGATTCCGGGAAGGCAGAGATTCCTTTGTCGCCAGACATCTGGGGAGGGAATGACACTTCCTGGGTATCACAATGCAGACCTGTGGCGTGCCCCTACCCCTCAGCCTTGCCACGTTTTGATCCAAAATAAAGTGACTGGGTTGAGAGGCGCCTACTGGGGGATGTGATTAGACTCGTAGGGTCAGACACACCCGTTTGGAGCAGGCCTGGTAGGGCAGCAAGGGTTTATGCAGGGGAGCCTGAGACTGCTCTCGGTACCCACACTCCCCTTGGTTGCTGGGCCTCCACACAGTCCCAGCCAGTTAGTCACATAAAGGCTTCACAGACCAGAGAGAGGGGCACGTGGGAGCAGCTGGGAGAATTCGGGCTGAATAGTCTCTGGGACTTCTAGGGGGAGAGCACTTCATGGGGCGCCGGGATGGGAAATGCTCCCAGAGGGGCGTCGGGCAGTGAAGCGGAGCCAGCTGGATGGAGGGAAGGCCTGGGACGAGAACTTTTGCACGAGGGGATGGGACAGGCAAAGAAAAAGTGGAGGAGGAGCTGTGGGTGCCCATTTCCAGCTCAATATTCAGCAAAGGGCGTGCCGTGGGAGGGCGGCTAATAGTGACTGGGTGGGACCACTTGGCTGGGGACGTGCGCGGCTTAGTCACTCACCATGAGGGTCATCAGCTCCTGTTGTAGCCTGTAAAGGGAGCATCGTGTCACCTGGGGTCTGGCGAGCAGCCACGGAGGTTTCCCCCTCGGCCCATCTCTACAGTCGGGCCGATGGAGTCCAGACCCTCCCTCGTTGTAGGCTCCTGCCGGAAGCTCCTGGCACGTTGTCATTACTACTCCCGGGCGTCCCTCCCGGCTCTCAACCTCAATCTCTCCCCGCTCGCCCGGCCCCCAAAGGCAGAGGGTCCCGAGTAGCCTCCTCTGGGTCCCGCCGCGGGCGAGAGCAGGGCAGCGTCCCCACCCACCCATCCAAATTCGGAAGGGTTTCAAAGAGCAGCGGTCCAGGCGTAGCCTCGCTGCCCTCCAGGCTGCCCGGGCCCCCGGAGGAGGTGGGGGTCTCGGAGGTCCAGCTCTCAGCTCGTGCCGCGGCACGCCGGGCGCCGGAGGGTGTTTCACCTCTGCCTCGCTTACCTCTTGCCCACGGAACCCCGGGCTGCGCCCCCGCTGGGCTCGGCTCCTTTTCGGGCGGCTACGACACTGGCTGCGGCTGGGTCGCGGTTTTGGGAGGCCATTCGCACGGTGTTGGCAGACAGGGTCTCGGAAGACTGGACGGCAACTGCAGGGTAGTGTGTCCACCCGCTCGCGTTTGAATTGTAACCCTCTGACAGCGTCAGCCAATCAGCGGCCCGCTTGGGTTTGATCCAGCCAATGGAGCGCTCCGTTACTGCGCAACCGTTGGACCCACCCACCAACGCGTCACTATCGGGCAGCAGGCTCTAGCTCCTGAGACGATTGGCAGGAGAGGCTGCCGGTAACTAATGTATCTATACTGGATTGGTGGAAAACGCCGACCATTAAAGGGCTAGAAAACGTGCACGTGGGATGAACGCCTTAAAGTCAAACGCGCAGCTGTTTTAGCATCTGGCCTGACACACCCAACCAAGCCCTCTTCTGGCCTGGACTGTCTCCACTTTCGGGGAAAGTCACCTTCCCCCCTTCTCCATTATAGTGCTCTTTCCTGGAACTCCAGGTGTCTTGACAATCTAAGCGAGCGGGGCAGGGGGTGGAGGGTGGGAGGGCAACTAGAAGCTAATAACCAAGCAGTGGGCTTGCTGTGGGACCTTAGAGGTGTCAGTCTGGGGTAGTAATGCCATTCGGCAGTTTTTCACGTGGGCCCTCCCCCAACTCAGCCCATCACATCTAACCCTTAGAGGGTGAAGAGCTAAGAAACCGAGGGCCAGGGTAGTTGCCCTCATAAAACAGACTTAAAGGGCCGCAGGGGCATCCATCCTAGATGCAACCTGGGAAGGGGACCAGGTGGGTCCCTTCACTCTTCAGACAGTCTCTTCCAGAGCTCCGGAGGTGTCTTGGTTGCCACAGGGTGGACCACACAGCAGGCTCACCATCTGGCTTTATTACAAACCTTTTAATTGCTTCTTATCCCAGTAACTCTCACAATACAGAACCACATGCCAGTCTGGGGTGCTCTGCGCCGAGTCACTACGACTAGCCCAGGCACAGGGCAATAAAGCTGGCATCCTGCAAGAAGAAGGCCCGCGTGCGCAGAGGTGGCTCCAGCCACAGGAGACGGGGCCTCAGAGGATGTCCAAGTGCAGTCAGGGGCCTGGTCTCAGGTCTGGGGGGGTGCCTCGGCACGGTGTTCATGTTCAGTCCGGAGGGTTTCCATGTACTTGCGCATCTTCTCAACCATCCAGGTGGGGAGGACAAAGGATTTCAGCTCCTCCAACTTCAGGTCGAGGCAGGCCCTGGCAGAGACAGGAAGGAGGGACATCTGAGCAAGGCAGGCTGTGGGCCCGTCCTCATCCCCAGGGCCCCTGAGGCAGTGCGTATCGGAGGGACAGGAGACCCAGGGGCTTTACCTGTAGTCATCGCTGGCAGCGAGGTCCCGGATGTCCTCTTCAATGAGGAGGTAGGCCTGGGGAGGGCAGTAGCAGGGAGCATTCAGTGGCCCCAAGTGCACCTGACTGCACACCTGCTTCACTTCATGGTAAGGCCTGCCCCTGGGCTTGCAGGGGCGCTGTGAGGGGCTGTCCGGGAACGAGCTCCCAGAGACAGCTCTTCACTCCTCTGGGAAGTTTATGGATAGAACGGAGGCTGGGGGTTAATTTTCCATAGCCTCTTCTTTTCAAAAAGGTTCCCAAGTGGGCTTACTCCACAAGGGCGAGGGAGCTGGTGAACCGTACACGCTAACAGGAAGCCAGGAGGATGCTTTCCGGGGGCTTTGGGACTGACACACTTTGGTCTTGGGCTTCAGGGCAAAACAGAAGCCATGGCAGATGGCACTGCTGACTGGCGCTGGGCGCGTCCTGGTGGAGAACTGTTGTGGGCTAAGGCCGATGCCAGCTCTGGGTGAAGGGGGAGGGGGTGTCCCCCTGAGAGCCCCCCACAGACGGGATGCTGTTCATTACATTGGGATGGGATGCCTTCTCTGGGAGGCAGTTTTCCCCCAGCCCTGTTTCTTTTTGATTTTTCTCATAGACCCTGTGAACTAGGTAATCAAACTTATATTCCAGAGAGGTGGTCTGGGGCGGGGGATGAAGTGTGCAGGTGATACCTAGGCATAGGAAAGGGAATCCTGGGGCCACAGGAATGGGCCCGCTCTACTCTAAAGTCTCTTTCTCACAGCCAACCATAGAGAGTCAGAGTCCTGGTGGGCCCAGGACAGAGGTCTGTGGGGACAATGCTTACCATCTTCCCCCCTGTTGCCCGCATATGATGCTGCTCTGCCAGCCAGTGCTTGTCTTGGGGGTCAGCTGCATACTGTGAGGGACAAAGGCACAGGGGAAACTTTAGGCTGGTGCAGGGGGTGGACCTTGCTCACTGGGGCCCAGAGCCGACTCTTGGCATTCGCTTGAGTGGTTCTTACCAACAAGACCTTGTCCTGGTCTGGCGGGTGGGGAGGGCTCACCAGTGTCTGCAGAGAAAGCTAATTCCTAGGAGGCTAGGGTAAAGGACTCATTTTCCAAAGATCTAGGGCACTTCTAGTTCCCACACCCCTTGTTTCTCAAAACACAGCATCTCTAGAGGCGAGTGGGACTGGGACACATTTATTTCGAGCTGTTGCTTTCACAAAGTGACGCGAGGCAGGGCACTTGCAGCACCCAGGTTACCAAGGTGGCCATAGCTCTATGTGAGAAACCAGGACACCTCGTGCCCAGGGGAGGGAGACGAGATTCCTGGTTAAGAACCTGGCTGTGGTGTTACACAAACCCAAACGGAACCAAACTCACAGCCACTGAGTTGATTCTAACTCGCAGTCACCCTCTAGGACAGAGTAGAAAGGCCTTGTGGGTGTCTGAGACTGTAACCCTTCATGGGAGTAGGAAGCCGCATCTTTCCCTGAACAGTGGGTGGTTTCAAACTGCTGACCTTGGGGGTTAGAAGCCCCAATGTGTAATCTACTACACCCTGGGGCACCTGTGGTGTCCCCATTTTAGATGATGTAAACCTGGGCATACTTTTCTTGGGTCTCAGTTTTCCCACATGTAAAATGACACAGGGTTGTTAAGCATGAGATCGTGAATACCAAGTGCTACACTCGGTCTCTGGTACTTAAAAAAGCGTTTGAGAAAGGTAGGCTTTATCAACTAGGAAGCGTATTTGAGACAGCCGGACACTCTGGCCTGCCCGGTCATCACCCTTCGGTGATAAGTGACTAGGTCACTTCCCAAGTGACAGGAGTAGTAATCAAGATTTTAGAGGCACGCACTCTGAGCCAGCACTTCCCCTTTCAGGACCTGCCCCTCAGCACCCCTACCCGCATACAAGGACTCTGGTGCCAGAAGGGCTGCTGCAGTGTTGTTCTCTACCGCAAATAGTGTGCGTAAACTTTGTCAATGGGGGAGTGACTATGGGATGTCTATTCTAGACAGAACCACACAACAACCTCGCCACCAGTTGATTCCACATCAGCGATCCCCCAGGGCAGAGTGGAACTGCCCTTTGGGGTTTCTGAGCATGTGAATGTTCCTCCCGTGGAGCAGCTGGGGGGTTCACACTGCTGGCCCTTTGGTTACCTGCTCAGTGTGTGACCCACTGGGCCACCTGGGCTCCCGAGTAGCTACTGAAAAGTGACAGGATGAGGGCTGGATTTAACAACAACCAGAACCCATCTCTGAGACAGCACTCACGCAATGCACAGCACTCAGCACACTGCAGTGAGGGACCAGGCGTCACTCCTTTAGCTTTGCCGGCACCGATGAGGGGCTTCCAAAAGTGCATGGAAACAGTAAGCTAGCCTTTCAGTCCCCTTTCCCATGAGCTTCTTGAAGCTCCCTCGTCTACCTTTGTTTTGAAGTCATCTTTTTGTTGTCTGCTTAAAAAAGCACCCGTGAGAAATGTAAAACCCTCAGGTGGACAGAAACAGGCCGCTGCTGGCCTCTGCTCAGCAGAGGCAGTGCTGTCGGATTTGGCCGTGCTGTAGTTCCAGCACATCGTGCATCGTGCATCATTCCCCCAGAATGCCTGCTGGCTTTTGAGACCACCAAAAATACAGATTCGCCTAAGAGGGCAGGCGAGTGAATTCCAGGCCTGACCGCCCCACCCCCCAAAAGCTGTTCTCAGGAGCACCCTCTCCTGTGAGAAGGTCCAGCAGGGCCTGCGTCCCACTCCTTACTCCCGAGCCCTGGTGGTGCGGTAGTGTAAGTGCTCCCCTGCTAACCATGGGGCATGCATGGGGATGCCAGTGCAGTGCTGCGAGAGGAAGGAGTCTGCCTCCGCACGTCTTAGAAACCCTCTGGGGCAGCTCTACTCGGACTCCTCGCTGAGGAACCTGGGGCCCGGCACTTAGTCTTTCTCAAAGTGCCTGTTTTCAGTTATAAAAATAAGAAGAATACTATCGGCCTTCCAGACGGTACCAGGGCACAATGGAAGTGTGGTTTAAATCAGTGCCCGGCACACGGGAAGGCGGAGGCGCTGCTGCAGCCTGAGTTCCCGGCACAGCGATGCCCATGGTTGTTCCAAGCGCATCAGTGCCGTGCAGGAGCCTGGTTGGCTCTCACCCCTCACCTACCTTGAAGAGGTGCGGATGCTTGATGTAGATCCTCCCTCTGGTGCCTCCCATGCCCAGCGCCCTGAAAAGTAACGGGGGAGGTAAGGAGTCCAGCGGTGGCCCTGAGCTGCCCCCCACAGTGCACGCCACATCTCTCAGACGTACTTGTTGGCTCGGGATCCCAACACAAAGGTGGTGGATTCGTTCAGGCGAGCTGGGTCCCACTGTGGGAAAAACAGAGGCTCATGAGGGGGCGGCG